AAATTGTTGAAGAAAAGTATATATATAGCTCTATTCTTGACATATACTTTTAAATTTGGCAGCAGCATTTCGGTGAGGAATTTTTGAGAGATAATTAATTTCTCAGAGTCATTCATTGACCGTCAGATAGATTCCACATATAATTTGCATTGCAATGAGATTACGATGATAACATAATATATGATGTGTCCCAACTCTAATTTGCCTGTCATCACGGACGTAATAAGCGACGAATGCCGAGAGATACGATGACGGTATAATCCCAGAACGTGTAACGTTCAATTATTCAAATCACATGAGAATTAATGAATCGCGACAGCAAGGGAAAAAACGGAAGGGAAAAAAGGCGAGCAATGCATTTGTATCACGGAGAGAATTCTTTAAAAATTTACCCTGAAAATTTTGTTAATCGTGGGACAGCATGGTATTTCGACAAATTTTACTGTACACTACAATAAATTGTACTATGCACTACAATAAATTTGTGTAGTATATGTATATTGAAAAAAATAATAAAAATCATATAAAATTCGTCAAAATATCATGTAGTCCTACAATTAACGTGATTTACAGGGTAAATTTTAAACTAAAATTCTCTCCGTATGTACTATTCGTAAAATATACAGTGAACAAAATGGTGCAGAGAGAGAGAGAGAGAGAGAGAGAGAGAGAGAGAGAGAGGAGAGAGGAGAGAGAGAGAGAGAGGGAGAGGGAGAGAGATAAAAATCGGAACGAGAGTGCCGGCAATACGCGGGAAAAGCGAAACAGCGGAGGAAATACGTGTCGCAATAGGAGGTGAAACTGCAGTCGGACATTACGGACCTTTGATGAGCGATAGGTACGTGCGTGTGTGATGCACGCGACGTCGACAACGCCGGTGTTGGGAGCCGCATGTGCGACGGACGCGCGTGTACCCCCGATACACGCACACGGATACTCTAAAACGAGTGGATGGTACGTCGCAATTGCCGTTAAAAGGACAAATCGCCGCGACGACGGCGACGGCGGTTTCGCAAGGTGAATTTATTGGCGGTCATTTGCATGGTCCTGAAGCAATTGTTGGTTTCTGCGGAGTAGGTCGTGTACCGTTGGAAGACAAAGGGTACCTTCGGCGGAGGAGCAGAGCGTTTAGCGGTTAATATTATGTAAAACTTGACGAGAGACGATAATTTATGCGTCAACGGAGTGCTATGCGAGATAGCGATAATAGAGGGATGTCTAAAATGTATGTACATTGCAAAACGGCGCGTACCCTTTTCGCGTATGCGAAAAATAATTGTCAGTTGTTTAGAGTGGAATCAAATCAGACGTTTATCTTTGCTCTTTACGACCGGGCAGGTGTATATTATAGTTTGATATGCATTATTCGAAAAAATAAACTAGTGAAATTATTTACATTTATGATAAAAATTAGAAAAATTAGAAATTAGATAAATTATTTAAATTTAGGGTGATAATAGAAGAGAGATTAAATGTAAGAGCTAGATAAAACTAAAATAAAATAAATATGTGTTTTCATAGAATGGTTTCTGCGTCAATCAAATACAATTTCTAATTCAGTTGTAACGCAAATATAATAACAGAAATAACGTAGCTTTTTTCGTAGCTTCAGTTCGTATGTAATCAATTATCACATAAGTACATCATTTTATCATTTTTTATGTTAGTATGTTATTACATACAATACATGTTATATCATTTTTTATGTTAGATCGTTTGGGTGAAGCGATTTTAGGAGAAAATATTTCTGAGAATTCACAATTTGCAGGTAAATATCGCAGTTAATGAATTATGAGACGAGAGAGAGAAAGAGAGAGAGAAAGGGGAGGATAGAGAGAGAAAAAGAGAAAGAGAATTAAGTTGGATGAGTATGACAGCTGTGAAAAAGAGTAAGTTAAATTGTTGAAACATGTAAGGTCTGATGATACCATTAAAACCGGTTATCTATGTCCTAAAATGAAGTGTACATTACGTAAGAACTTTAACGACGTTGCACCGGCCGATCTCCCGGGAGCCATTATACAATTGATGTAATGTTCAGTTTTACGACATAGAAACGAGGCGAAATTTTACGATTTCGCGATTTTCATAAGTCGCGATTCCAGTACCTTCGGATAATAAGAGCGAGCGACACTCATGAAAAAATCGCGTTGTCGCACGAAGATTTGCGTTAATCGATGACTCATGCGCCTATTTTAATTCGACAGCAATAATTAGATCAATTTAGATCAAGATATGACATTACATTCTATTCAATTTTTTGGATTAATTTACAATTAAATCAAGATATGACATTACATTGTAGAATTTACTTGTTGCTAATTACGCATTGAATTTTTACAATGGACAACACGAAGAGATGCTTATGCCTGATATGATAGTTAACTCATCACGCTCAAAGCGCACAAAAATATATACCGCGAGATTTACAAGATTATATGAAAAGTGCGCTGCTAATGAAATGAAGATGTTTGTAAAAGATCGTATACGTGCGCATATACAATTATGAAGAAAATTTATACGATATTAAAAAAATTTTATATGATTTTCAAGACCTACATATTAAGAAGATTAAGAATGCGATAATGCGATAATCGTGGATTGTGACGTTAAAACACAACAATTTGAGTCGCTCTGTACGCGCGATTCATTTTTCATTATTAAACGAAGAAATTGTAGGAAAATGTACTCTTTGCTCAACCGCGTAAAAAGTCAAATATAGACTTTTAGGAACATTGGTAAGAAAGAATTTTAGAAAAGAACATCTGTTCAAAACACATTTGAAAACACATTTCTCTCTTTACTTATTTTTAATTATATTTATTATTAATTTAATTATAATTATTTCACATTAGTTTAATTATTTACGGTAATTTTTTAATAATTATGCTAACAATAAGTCGAAATTCAAAAAGAGGTTTTAATCAGCAAGAAACAAGCAAGTTTTTTTTAGCGAAAAACGTAAATACGAATGATTGTTCTCAGAAACGGTGTAAAGTATTATAATAAAAGAAATGTGTACCACAGAGTTTTCCAGACGCTTTGCATATTTTACGAGTAATTGGACGGTGGAAAAAAATGCCGCGGCTAGAGACTGAGAGAAAGAAAATTCGAGAGACGGCGTATTTCACCATCTCCGTCTGAAAATTCATTGCGTACAGAGATATTCGAGGGATAGGTCTCCTCCAAAGGAGATCGCTCGTGCGTAGTGGTATCATGCTTAATCAAGGTGGCTGCTAGTTAGTCGTAGTCGAACCACTACGGTAATCACACCGGTCTTTTCTTTTTTTCTTTTTCGGCCACCGCGCTCTCACTCTCCCAGTGAAAAGTCCGGCGTGTGCAGTTAGTCGCCGCTCGCATCGGCAGTGCTTCCACTTGATTTCGCCGCGCGCTGTGGAAAGTCGTATACGTGTTCAAAGTGCCCCCGCGGTTCTCTGTTATCCGAGGCGGATAATGGTACTAACAGCGTCAATAATCAAGAAGGAGCCGAACGCACGCCGGGCTGCAAGTACGAAAGTGTGTCGGCGCTCACGGAAGTCCGATTTAATCGCGGGGGAACAGCATTATTAAACCCGTTGCATCGTATAATGACGATTGTAGGGATAATGCGATCGTAGAAGTATCCACGGTCTATCATTCACCGATGATACGGTATACCCCACATGCTGCTTTCGATAACAAACGATTGTGTGGAATGATTGTATGGACTAAAAAATTCTATAACGTGGAGTAAATGTATATAAAGGTATACTAAACAAATAAAAAAAGAAAAAGAAACGAATTAAATTGTAATAAAATAAATTAAATATATTTTTAATGGGATTTTTTCTAAAAATAAAAATAACAGATGCAAGATGTATCGCCGATTAATCGGTAGTTAAATATGTAAATAAAATTGAAAAATGTTTTGCGGTGTCTCTCTGCAAAGTCTATAATAGCGAATTTGATGGACGTATTCTAATGCGTTCACTCTGCACATTAAAGCAGCTGTTACACTGACTTAATCTGACAATGAGTGTAAAAGTGAAATATTTCATATTGTGAAATACATGTTTTACTTAGCGGCACAATAAAAGGATTAAGACTTTTGCGGTTAACCCATTTCTTATATATTTGTATTAAACATACATATTTATGTACGACCGCGGTTTTAACGTGCGCACCGAGTGCGCACTAGTGCGTTCAACCGAATTCGCTTTGGAGGAATGGCTTGTTTATGAAAGACCGACGAGAGATTGACTTGGCGCACGCGAGCTAGGAGTAAACGCACGGACGAATAAATCCGTTGTCGTTCTCAATGATATCATCGAGGGGAAAAAAAATTCCCGGTGTCTATGTTAAACATACGTGATTACACGTATTTTTCGAACGGTGTAACATTGCCATTGAGCAAGTAGCAATGCGAATCTATCATTAGAGGCTGCGAAAATGAACAGGTGGTTGCGATGCCTTATTTTTTCCCCGCCGTTCTGACCACATCGGATCATTCCAGACATGTGCGAACCGGTTCGCGCACGCGGATTTGTCGAAAGGATGCGGATTTCAGCAATCGGTAAATCGCGCATCTTGCGCAAGGGAACGCCACGTTAACCCAATTAGGGCCTCCGCGAGTTTAATGACGTTATAAAAGCAAGAATTTGTTTTTATGACGAGTCCGACGTTTTATTTGCGAATAAAAATACCACACAAAGATATGTGGGATTTATATGATAAAACTTATCGGTTTGTACGTACAACGGCGACGCTAAACGCCCCCTCGAAACGCATGCATGCGTCGCGACTCATATTTATTTGTATTTATCTTAGAAAACGGAGCATAGACTCTTTGAATTAGGCGTTACTGCCATATAAATTATAGATATTAGTATGCTTAATAATGTTCTTTTTTATCCACAAACTGTTTTGAATGAGTAAGAATATATAATTAAATCAATTTATTCACGACAGCGGGGAAACTTAATATACGCAAAGTAATGAAACTCATAAAATCGTGTTTCCAGTTGACTTCCCAATGAACGTCACCGCGCCAATCGACAGGATGTCTAACATCTACAACAACTCCGTAGTGCGATACTGGCAATTTCTGTTCCACGATTTATCCGGTAAGCTTGCGTTATATACGAGATATCGACATTCGAATTGGATTCTGATTATGTGCTGTCAATAATCGAAACGATACAGGTTGACGTGTAACTATTTTGATTTTACATATTTTTCCTTTATTTGATTAATCTCATAATGGTTTCTCTTACTTTATCATTCTTTAATCTCGTAACTTTCGAGGATAACTTCATTTGCTTTCACTTGCTTAATCTTCTATCAACAGTGTAACTAATTATGAAAATGCAACTCAGAATTACAATATAATCTATATCGTATGAAAGTTTATTTTAAAAAATTACAACAACAACGAATAATGCGTCTTCTAATAGTGAATACCAATTATTTAATATTTAACAAAAAAAAGAACGGAATTTATAACAAAACTTTGATAAAAAATAAGGATTACGTCAAACTGCGCTTTTGTTTTTGCGTAAACAGTTATTTTGAAATTTATTCAATTAATATTATTTATTCAAATAATCAATATTGGATTTAATTCCTTCCAATTAGTTAAAACTAAAGATAAGTATAGGTATAGATACAAATAGAAAAGATGCATTAATAAAATCGAGCACGAAAAATACTTCATCACTCTTTTATCTCTTTACTTTTGAGGATAACTTCATTTGCTTTCACTTATTAATTTGGTATCAGCAGTATAACTAATTATGGATATGCAATTCAGAATTACAATAGAATCTATACAACATGAGAATCTATTTTAAAAAATTAAGAAGATACCACGACGCGTCTTCTAATTCAGTATATCAGTTATTTAACAATAAAGAAAAAAACGTATTTTATAATTCAAAAAAATTTGATAAAAATAAAGATTACGTCTTTATTTGTACGTATACAACTTAATTTGAAATTCATTCAATTAATCATTTAATTTCAGATCATCATTTATTTTCAGATATCATTTATTTTCAGATAATCCATATTGGATTTTTATGTTAATTCCTGCCAATTCGCTAAAGACAAGTATAGGGATAATCGCAAATAGAAAAGATGCATTGATAAAACCAAGCACAACATACAAATCCGCATATCCGATTTCATAACTCTTTTATTGTGTATAAATTTTTTTCAGATCCTCGAACCAGGGATTGGTTTCTTATATCGTCACCGGTACCCGGCCTCAGTATCTTGATCGGCTATCTCTATTTCGTATTGTCATGGGGCCCGAGAAACATGGAACACCGGAAGCCGTACCAACTAAAAAACACTCTAGTCGTTTATAACTTTTTGCAGATTCTTCTTAGCACATGGCTATTTAATGAAGGCATGGACGCCATATTTTTCCATAATTACAGCTTCACATGCGAGGGGGTGGATTTTTCGTACAAACCGTATCCTCTAAGAGTATGTAAAATGCTGCATAAATGTATATCTCTAAGTTTTCAGTATTGTTATAAATTTATAATATTTATTTTATAATTTTTATTTATAACGTTTAAGTTAAAATATTTATAACTTAAATCTCCCGATATTTCACGTTGTTTTACTCACGTAACTTGAAAGATATCGCTAAACGTGTATCTCTAAGTTTTTAATTCCCGGGACAAAGTTTTTCACATAAGAAAGTTTTTCATATAACAAGTTTTGCATATAATTATATATAAAAATATATAATTATATGCAAAATATGTCCATATATATCTATACATATGTTTTTCTTTTGTAAAATTATTCTTTAATACAAAAAAATGATAATAATAAGAAGGAAACATAAAAAATAATTAAAAGAATAATTTTTACATTGTTTTTTTTCAAAAAATCAAGTTTGAAGAAATGAGAAAAATTACTTATATAAAATTATACATAAATGATTAAAAAAATATATATATATAATTATATATGAACAATTTTTTATTATTTCTTAAAACTTGATTTTTTGTAAAAAAAACAATGCAAAAATTATTCTTTTAATTATCTTTTATGTTTTCTTTTTATTATTATTATTTTTCTTGTATTAAACAATAATTTTGCAAAGAAAAGAAACATATATGGATATGTATGGACATATTTCGCATTGAATTATGTATAATTATATATAATTATATATTTTTATATATGTTTATATATATATATATATATATATATATATATATATATGTTTCATATAAGACATATATATTTTTTCCCGGGTTGTTATAAATTTATAATATTTAGCTTATAATTTTTATTTATAATATATTCAAGTTATAATATTCATAACTTACAAATCTCGACATTTTACGTTGTTTTACTCATGTAACTTGAAAGATATCGTTGTCTCGTTATCTTCCCGGTTTGAATGTGAAATATTCTCATTTGTTCAAGACAATATCGTAAATTTTTCTAGCGCGATAAGAAGAGAGGTAGAATGTGTCTGCCAATTGACTTTTCGTCATCCGTTTCCTGCACGACATTCGTTTACAGGTCGCAAGAGGCGTTTACATTTATTTTCTGGCGAAACTCACAGAGCTCCTCGACACGGTGTTCTTCGTATTGCGCAAGAAGGAGAAACAAATCACATTTCTTCACATGTACCATCATACCGTGATGCCAATGATATCGTGGGGCGCTACGAAGTATTATCCTGGTGGCCATGGCGTCTTCGTAGGTACGTCGAAGTAGACTGCAGTGAAATATAATGATCCAATTTCCTTTTTTTTTTATTTCTCTCTTTGAACATTTTCGTTGTTTTAATGAATCGAATCATACGTGACTCACGAATACATGATTCGATATGTTGCAGGAATTATGAATAGCTTTGTGCACATCATCATGTACACTTATTATCTTCTGGCAGCATTGCTACCTCACCATCAGCAAAAACGGTATCTCTGGTGGAAAAAGTACATTACTACCCTACAAATGGTACGTAGCAAATGAACTAGTGTTCAGGGACGGAGACTTTTGACTTTTCTGGGTATCATCCAAGCGAGGAAAGGGGGTGGTTTCAATAACACACAAATATTTTATCTTTTTTGTTGTATGTGCGAAATATATTTTCTACATATATTTTCTATTTTAAATTTCTTTTTATATATTTTCTCTTTACAAATAAATAATAATATAAATTACTTATACTGTTATAAATCTTAATAATTTTTTTGTCAAATCACTTAAAATTTCTTAAAATTTGTCAAAAATTAAAATATTAAAAAAAAAACCCGAATTCCGGATGGGAAATTCCACATCTACAAGGAACTCTGAGTGTGAAGAGCTCCATAAGGAAGCCTCCGTCCCTGCGAATGCTTAATCGATGAAGTTGTTCAATGACTGCCAGTTTTTTTTTTGCAATTTTCACCGATTCGTCTATCCTGATAATTTGTTTCATCGACAAATTATTATCAGGAGACACGGTAGAGGCTTGGTGTCAAGTGTTTAAAACTAATATAAATATAAATAAAATATAAATCATTATCTACGTTATTCTTTTCCTTCGACAGACCCAATTCTGTCTGGCCTTCCTACACAACTGCCTATTGTTGTTCTACGACTGCAACTATCCGAGATGGTCGGTCGTGCTGGTACTGCCGAACGCGATGTTCTTCTACTTCCTGTTCTCGGACTTCTACAATAATGCCTATACCCCCAAGAAAGAAAACGACGGCGCAACGCCGTCGATCCAGAAATCCAAAGCGAACGGCGCCGTGGAGAAAGTGCGCAGCGATGAGATACCGAACGGAAAAGGGAAAAGCGACTAAACCGGTGCGGCCGAGGAAAGAGGCGATGCGATCGCAATGAGACGGTCACTACCATTTCACTTGGAATCGCGCTGCAGTCTCTATCTCGCTAATCTAGCCGACGTATCGCAGCTGCGTTCCACGCTAGGACGTTCGACGCGCATCAAAGAGACAACGTAAACTGAAAACGACAGAGACGACCGGACATTCCGCGCAAAACTAAACACGCATCTGACTACACTCGACGATTGAATTTTCAAACTTTTTAGACAAACGAAAGCGATCCACTCATTACGTATTTTCTTGTATATACGATGGCGACGAAGTTGTATCGAACGGCTAAGTCGTCAAGGATATAATTAGGCATAATTAGAGCGTAGAACACCTACTCGCATTGCATTTTGTATGTATATGCAATTTAAATGGACGAATAATGAAAAAATTGTTATTCGCGTTCTTGTTTGTCTTTATTTATATTATTTATATACTGATAATTTCAAATGCTAATCTAACAAACTATCGGCAAAGTTTAAAAATTTACGATTTCAAAAACGCAGATTTTTAAATCTCGTAAATCAAAATTCTTTTCAGACTAGAAATGTATTATCTGTCCTCTGCGTTTTCAAAATACGCAATATTTTACGGTGAAATTTTATACGTTATCAGATTGCAAATAAGCAGTATTATAAATTAATTTAAAATTATTTTCACTGCTACGAAAAGATCGTTCTTCGGAATGTATAACACATTGTATCACTCATGTCATATAAAGCATATTATTATTACATAATTAAAGCAATATTATTTTATTATTTTTTTGAAGCAATATTATTTGTATACAAGAACACCGCGGAATTTTACATTTTTCATAAAATCCAGAGAATACATACCGAAAAGTATTCGAATTTAAAGCATCACACAATTTGTCATAATCTCCGTTTCTAAAAAATTGTCACAGCCGGTTTTGGGTCACAGTCACTTCGACAGTAAGTGTATTAATTGACAACAATTGCTATAAAATTATCGATTTAATTGTCAACGATGTAATCGTGAATTACCGGAGAATATGAACGGAAACGAGTGGATCACTTGTAATGGCAAACTAATAGTTTTGTATCTTATGTATCTTTTTTTTGTTAAGCGACGTATCTTGTGATTAGACTCACACGATTAGACTCAACCACGATACTAATGATGGTATTATTAAATAATGCGTGCTCTAATTATTACAGTTTTACGATAGTTGTTTAATGTATAAATCAACTTATATGGATGAAGAATTTAGAGAGATATTTTCAAGAGTGCACTTTTCAAATTTACAAGGACGTAAGATCTTTCTTCATTTGACGTTTCTCTTTACATTTATCATCTTGCAATCGGGCGATACACATTTCATCGTTATGCATCGTCGTTTTCTTTTGCGTATTTGTTTAAAAAATGCGCAATCAATAGTTAATAATATTAGTATGAGGGGTAAAGTCGTTTATTAAAACATGGAAATCAAACGCATTACATTTAAGAGTGATTCATATTTGCTATCCTTACACGCGTGATGTGCGATACAACGCAATGATGAAGTCCATTGGAGATAATCTCAAATATATATTCTTTATCTTATATTGCATTTTTTTTGTAAAAAAAAAACTTTTTTCTTGTCAATAAATTCTTAGCAATAAACTATTATATTAACATTTTAATTATTATAGTAATTTAACTAAACAGATATAGGATGTATTTCTAAGAGATATAAGATATACCATTTAAATAAAGCATAATTTATAAAATTTTAAGTCATAACTTTTAGCTATAGCTGTAGAATTATCTCAAAATCACAAGTATAAAAAACGAAAATTTTTACAATTGGGATTTATTAAGTTTTCCGATTGACGAAAGATGGTCGAATGAAACAAATTATTTAGAATGCTGCTATCTTCAGAGAATATCTTCATTAGACGTCATTATTGCAGCTGTTTGTACATAATGGATGTATGCGTGGTATACTACATGCGTTCAAAACAATTTCGAATAATGGTTTTTCAGGTTACACGTCAAATGTGTTCGGAACAAGTCAATAATCAAATTTGTATGTCAAACAATTGTAGAGGACAGGTCTTGTTAAGAACAAGGAGTATATATGATTAATCGTTATTTTGAATAGAATAACAATGATACGTAGATACGTGATATTAACAATATTCATAAATATGTCAATTAATTGAACGTAGTTACGAAACAGAGAGGAACAATTTATAAAAATAATTTTCTTTTTTGTCATAACTGCTTTTCAAATGAGAAACTATACGTAACATTTAATTTGCAAAATTCGATATGTATTATTTAGGTAAGTTTAAACAAACTAGGTATCCAAAAATTTGTAGTTTCTTGTCGTTTACTTAACATTTATATTTTTCTAATTGGATTTTTCTTAACCCAAGCAACATATGTTTATCTTTCTATACTTTTTCGATTTTAATTATTTTTTATATAAAAAAATTTGTTACACACTCATCATTGCAAGAATTTATTTTATAAAATTTGTTACACCCTCATCATTTCAAGAATTTATTTTATAAAATTATTTACTTAAACTTCTCTAGATCAATGTTTTCTCAAAAGAATTTAATTAGAGACGCTTATACTGCTTTATTAAAGCTTCTTCCTAAAGTTGTTTAAATCACTTTGGTGATAAAAGTATATTTGTGGCGCTGCAATAGATTGCGACTGTTCTATTACATTTTTTTATAAACTAACTTTTTATATAGAAATTGAAAATTAACTTTAATGCAAATGAAAAAAATGCATAGAAAAATTATTAACAAATATTTAATCTCTGAATGTAGGAAAATCAATTTCGGATGCAAGCCGTGAAGAGCGTCAATATCCAAAATAAAAATGATTAATTGAATCCAAAGAATATGGCTTTAAGTTTGTTTGGTAATTTGCATCGATTGCTGAGTGTCTCATAAAATGTCGTGATTCTTTTTCCTTTATCTCATTTTACATTTTAATAATAATTTTAGTATACCGTGGGATAATAAAATATACATAAGGTTTGGCGTACGGTTTAGAAATATTTAAATGGGATTCTTAATGTAAATAAATTATCAATCGCTTTTTTGTGCTTCTTTTAACTTCCAAGTGATTCGTTTCCGATAGGAGAATCGCAGTTTCAGAACTACTGGTCGATTGCTCAAACGCCGCATGGATGTGTAATAGGTATAGATGCGTGTTCCCTATCTTTCCCCTATCTTAATTAATCTTAGCATCTGTGCTCCGTTAGAAAGAGAACGTAAAATGCGTATTAGTGTCTCTCTTTAACTCGCTTTAGGTGGGGAGTGCAATAGAGGAGGCGATAGAAAGGGCGATATTTAATCTTATGTGTCATTATTCCCACTACTGATATTTTAGAAAGAGAGAGAGAGAGAAAGAGAGAACGAAACGCACCAAGCTGCCTTTCTCTTTCTAAACCAATAGCAACAACTTTATTGGAATGTGCAGTCTATACCAATTGCATCTATAGCTACGGCCTTGTATGGACGGATAACTAATTATATCGACCGTAATTTTGTATATTATATATTATGCGTGTAATTTGTTATAGAATAAAAGTATATATCATTAATATAATGCATTGTAATTGTTTATTTTGTCTTTTAACAATTATAAATTTTGATTTTTGCTTATTTGAAAAAAGAAAAAATATGACTATCGTGATTTGATCACCGATATTAAAATAGTTCGAATTCGAATCAAATCGAATCGGATCACAGTAGATTCGATTCGAGTTTGTTTTCTAATCCTCAAGATTCGAAATCGAATAGTTCGAAAATTTCGAATCAACAATGGTTCGATTTCGAATCGATCGCCTAATGTTAATCTGGAAAAATTTGATTCAGATTCGATTCGTATTCGAATTAAAGAGATTCGATTCGATTTCGAACATGTTATAAAAATTCGATTTGATTCGATTCGACCATGCAAATGCTTGATTCGCACACCTCTACAGAGAGAACTGCTGCCCGCAAATATTATCCACGGTTATAATTTTCATTCTCTTAGAGTCCTACTTCATATGAAATATGAATACAATGCTCGTCGTTGCTTATTGTTAAATACATAAGTAAACGTCGCATCTTAATACGGTGGCTGATGAACCAATAATATAATTATTTTGTATGGAAGAAATGTGTTTTCTCATAACATTTGTCACGTTCCTCGATCGTAAATCTCGCGAGGGAAACTATTCAAGCTTTAGAAGACACACAAAGCGTATCGTTATTTATTCATTTCAGCTTCAACGCACAAATTAATTGAGCCACGGCACTATGAAATAAATCATGGGCGTGACCTATTCTAAACAGAATGCGTAGCGCGTAATACAAACAAGTATCAAGGTGGCGTACTAAATTATGCTTGAAATATCTTTTTAAAATTTAAATTAATTTTGATAAATGATTAGTATCACATAATGAGTTTGATATTTCCTTAAAGAATAAAATTCATCTGACCAATTTACTAAAAGTATTTTATTTGCGTAAATTATATTATTATAACTTGCCGAATCTTTTTGCATTCTTAGAGTAAAATTATCTTAATAGATCAAACGTTTAGCCCAATCAAATGAGCCGAAATTTTGACTAAGATAGGAAAAAATACTAGAAATGTTGCCATTTCGTGGAGGGGTGTCTTTTGGGGTTAAAATTAAGGTACAAAAATATATTTTCAAAAATTTATATTTAATTATATATCATATACATATATATTATTTTTTTCATTAATGTATCATATACCAAGCGAAACAGAAAATTATTATGACACTAAAATTGCGTTAAAATAGTTTTAAAATGATTATTAAAAGTCACTTTTCAATCACAATTTATTTTAATTAACGTTTGACATTATTGTTATTTATTATTTTGCTTGGATTGGTATATTATTTGGATAATATATCAAGTGTGAACAATAAATTATATATTCTTATCCATATAATATTGCATATACGAATTTATATTTTATATCTCATGTAATTACAGAATACAAACACGTTGTACAATTTAAATCTAAAGGAAAATTATATATATATATATAATATAATAAAGTTCACATATATACACAACATTATTATAACTCTACTTCAACGTTAATGACTCTTTCTCTTTCTTCTGTATTATTAACCTATATTAATTATTAATTAATAAATCTAAGATTTCGATTAAATCAAATCCTCCAAATTAACAAAGGCTATTTTAATTTTTCTTTTCTGTAAAATTTAATCAAGATCGAATTTTAAATCTGACATAATGTATACGTTAATAAAACATGTATTTAATATAAACTAACTGTATATGCATTTCTAAATAAACACTGGAAATTCTTATATGTCTGAGTATAAATATAATATGGTCCAATAGCATTATGAAAATTAAAATTCTCAATATATTACTTAATAAATTATTTAACAATAAATAGCGATGCTTAACAAAAACGTAACATTAAGAAAATTATTTTTTTGTGAAAGAACAAATTAAAATTAGATAATTTTTTAATGTTGGCTAACCCTTTTTTACTAATAATTAATTTTATTCTTAATTATTAATGAATAAATAATTAATTTTATCCTTCTATTTAAAATAAATTTCTTTTTAAGAAATCGTGATAAACTTCTGACAAATTACCTCGATAATCGTCTTTGTACATGTTTCATTCTGTTTTTCAATAATTTTATTCTTCAACCAAATAAATCAATCTTTGATATACATCTTACGATACTTGTAGGGTATATATTATGATATTATTTACATTAAGAAGAAAATTTGAAAATTTAAAAGGATAATTTAAGATTTTGATAATTGCATATATAGATTTTTAGCTATCTTTTCTATATTATGATATTTGTTAAAAGTGATTATGTTATAAGCTTTATTCTTTCTATAAAAAATAAATATGCAGTAAAATAATTTATTACTAACAAAATTATTTATTATGGCAATAGTAATTAATTACGAAGAATTCAATGCTTCAATAAATTGAATAACAAAATGAACAATTCTTGTAAAAAAAAACATCGTACATGTATATATATATATATATATATATATATATTGTGTGTGTGTGTGTGTGTGTGTGTGTGTGTGTGTGTGTGTATTATACATTTACTATTTACTACAAGCTTTTATTTATGTGTATATATATATATATATATATATATTTTTATATATTTATATAATACATATATACATATAATTGAAATTTAAACGTATAGATTTACAAATTATAAAAATTTGTAGATCTCTTATACACACACATGCGCATATAATTATCTATTTTCTTTGTGTTCTTTAATGTAAAATATAATAATACAATAATTGATGTTCAATGAATTTTCTATTGCTGCAATGCAAGTTATAATTATTTTGTTCCTTGTATATAAGGATATATATTTTTTAAACAATATATAGCTTTATTATTTACATAAAATTTAAACATAAGTAGATTTAAATAATTTGTTTTGTACTTATTGATTATTTACGTTGTGTGACACAAAATATTCATTATTAAGTAAGTTTTTTCTTATACGCTTGACGATAAAAGTCGCTAAATAGATAAATAAAGATTATTATCATTACTACGAAGAAATAAGTTAGAGCTTTTGGCGTTCGACAATCCATGATCAATGTTAGTACTAGGTAAACTAACATTAAAGCAAACTGCGTCTGAAATTTGAAAGAGAATTTTAGTTGTTAAATTTGATTTGTACAGATTTGTACAGAAACGTTTCACGAAATATCTGTATATTAAATTGGACAAATCATTCAAATAAAACTAAGTTAAATAAGTACTGTTTACGATAGTGGAAAATAATATCTAAGAAAAATAAATAAAAAATATCACAAAATCCTATATTAGGTATGTCAAAAATATGATAAAATATAATATAAAAATATTATGTATTTATAATGTTATAAAAGCTTTAATAAATCTTTAATTAATTTAAAGTAATAGTAAGATATTAAAAAATAATTTTATTTGGTATAGTTAATTGCATAAGAAACAAGTAAGTAATTACCAGCTGAATCCAAGTCATATATTTCTTCCACCAGAGATACTTTTTATACTTAGGGCCAAGTGCCGCAATGAGATAATAACTGTACATAATGACGTGGACTATAGAATTCAAGAAACCAATGACAACGCCTTGTTCACCAGGCAAAAATTTTAAATAACACCACGAGAAGACAGCCGTTATAGTATGGTGAAAAACATGAAGAAAAGTAATCTGATTTTGCTTTTTCCTCAAAACGAAAAATACCTTGAACAATAAAATATTAGAAATTACATTTTTCAATTTTTTGATTTTTTATTTAATATTTTTTAAATAAAAATTGTATATTGGCTCGTATTTTAGAATAAAATAGAAATTAGGAAAAATAAATACCAATAAACGAGCAAACAAAGATGTTGTAATATAATTATATTATATAATATTATTTGATGAAATTAAAGTGGAACGTTTCGACTTTACTAATGGTAAGCCTTCTTCAGCCGTAAATACATATTTTCAAATTACGTAACAAACAATGACATGAGATTCGAAACAAATCAATCTGTCAAAAAAATTAATACGATCGATTGTTGCCGACCACTGTCATTGGTAAAAGACGTTGACCAGAAAAATTTAAATTTAACCAATTACCAAAAACACGTTGAGCGAAAAAGGCCTCATGGACTTAATTTGTCAACTCATTTAATAATTGAATTTAATTATCAATAATTGTCTAAAAAGGTGAATAACAACTTCAGACAATGATCTTAGTAACAAAACGTTAAATGACGTCTTAATAATATCTTAATAATAATTTTCTTCAATGTTAATTAGACAGTATTAAGACGTAATTTAACGTCACCTTGCTACTTATAGTTACACCGGAAAGGAAACGTTGCGTATTCTCCAACTAGGATTAATGTAATAAATTATAATTTAAAAATTTGAGGCTGAAGGAAGATTTAGTAAATTCAAAATGTTCCGCTTTAATTTTATTGAATAAAATTATATAATTACAACATTTTGGTTTGCTCATTTATTGGCCTTTCTCCTCTCTATTTTAAATTTTAAGATTTTTATTTAAACGCTTTTTTATATTATATTTCTAAAAATATATGTTTATTTATATTTTAATTTATAACATTATTAATAATTTTTGTTTTAAAGAGATGTCTAAAAAATTATTTATAAGAAACAGTTAAAAAGTTAAAAGAAAGAGATACAAAACTTATAATATCCATCTGTTATAATCTTTTCATTAAAAAAAAAACCGAAACGTACGGATTTATAAATTAAATGTCTTCTTTGTCTTAACGAATTGTATTAAATTATTATCGCCCATTATTTACTGCGTTGACTCGTATTCGCCCCTTCCTTCAGTTATTACATACAATAAAAAGTTAAAAGATTTTTTAAAACAATTTTTAAATTATATTTTTATTAGTCGTACATTTGTAAATATTATTTGCAATGAATTCGTGTATTATTTCTACATTGAATATGCTTTTGTGTTTCAAATATTCAATACACTTTTTATATGCTTTATATTCTAATATTATATTTGAAGAAGATAGTAGTATTTAAAAGAGATTGTTTAATTTATTAGAGGTTACGACGAACAATTGACGAATGCTTTCCCGATGACCGAGTTAACAAAACGCTTGTTAAGCAAATGTGTCATATTTCAAAATGTTTGACAATAGCTTTTGTTGGGTAAGTGGCAAAACAATGGTGTCACTTGTAATCGATAACGGAACCATGATATACACTTTATATTGTCTTATTATTAATTCTTCATCTTAATAGAAATAAAGTTAGTTAAACGCTCTAATTTTTAACTATTTAATTTTGTTGTTATAAATATTTGCTTACCGTGTCAAGAAGTTCGATGACTTTTGCGAAAAAATACCACCAAGCGCCTCGTGACATCTATACATCCAATATATATTATATATTTCAACAGTTTTAATATTTCTTAAAATTATATATATGTATATATATGTATATATACATATATACATATATATATATATATATATATATAAAATTATATATAATTTGGAGAAATATATTAAAATTGTTGAAATTAAAATTAAATTCAATATTGTTAAAAATTACGAGAAAGATATTTACCGCTACTTGTACATTTATGTCAGGTGATAAATGATTATCATATCCATGAGCGAAAAATAAATATTTAATATCGACGTCCAATATCTGAAATCGACGAATATTTTATATAGATTATTACATATTTCAAAACATATATGATAAATTCATAGTTTGATTGATAGTTTAATAAAATTACATTTTATTTAATTTTTACATGTATTGATCTTAATTGTGCAATTTTAAATATAGTTCTATCCGTAAATTATTATGTGAGTTTGAATAATATAAAAATGTATAAATTAAGATTGTTAATAAATTATCCATTTGAACACATGTATAATTAATTACTTATATATTATCTAGAACATTATTTTCTGCTTATTCATATCACATAGTGTTAAAGCGATTTATTTATTCTTTCGAATATAAAATATGAGAAAACGTGGAATAGAATATTTATATATCGTGATTGTGTATTTACAGGTTTTTCTTGCTTTTAACACTTATTAAACACTAATGAAATGGGACTATATTTACAAGAAGTTAAACTTACCAAAGTTGTTAACCAAATGCTGAAAAGTACTTGAAATGCATTATATCCGATCATAACGTTATTCAGCTGAAAGGCTGGCCTTTTTTCCATCATTTTTGGTCCAGCTTTTAAGACAAATATCAAATACGCGCTAACAATACATAACACAGGACCTGGAGATTCCATTAAAGGCCAAGTATCCACCATTGGATCTGTCATAGAGGAATGTAATTTATTTATTTTCGGCAAATTTTTCAAAAGCAAAATGTTTTTTTTCTATATATATGTTTGTATTGTGTATATATAGGTATTGGTGAGTGCATAACAGCTGCATTAATCAATTATATTCAATGCGAGAGAATAAAATATATTAGGGTAATATAAAATAGTTTACCTATAGCAGAATGTACGCAAAAATAGTCTGTTAAAATTTATGTTAATCTTTTGTGAAATATTAAACGGATTATGTTTTCAGTTACTACATCATAAAATATTAGCATTATGATGTATGCATCATTATACACGATGTAAAAAAATTATATTACGTTTCGTAGTTTATGTGATTTGCCTAGCAAACAAAGTGAAATATATACGAAAACATGAAGTACGCTAATTATATGAACGACTAAAATTAAAATCATGTTTATTTATATGTTATTTGGAACTCCGCGGTAATAATTTAAGTGAGTATCTGTAGGAAATGCCGATAATGATCTTCATTTTACATGATTTTAAATATTTATAGAATAATAGATAATTCTTATTGCCAGCATACAATTGATAGTTTTTTTACATTTACGTTCACAACAACACTTCTTTTTTTACACATTTTTTTATAGATTTTTTTATGTTTTGCATATAATGCAAAGTATCTAGATCGCATGATTAATTATGCAATCTTAAAATTTCGTAAAGCGTTTCGCAAGTTTTACAGAGAAACTAAATCATGTTGATTTAATTAAAATTACAATTGACATCATTAGTACATATTAGTACTTATTGTAAGATTACAAATACAATAGTCAAAATTACGTAACATACTTTTCATATGGCTATACAAAATACAAAATTTATTTTAAATACATAAGTTAGAATATTTTGCAAGATTTTGAGTTTATTCATGAGGGAAAGTATTTTTTGTGAACAGATAAATTGTATATTTTTAATAATAAATTTATATTACTTCTTTATTAAAAATAACTTACCTCTGACATTTTTTATAACTTCGTTATAATTGCTAACAACAAGTCGGATGAGACTAGTCATATTGATGATACAATGTCTAAAAAGTAGAGATAATTCTTGACTTATATGAGAAAATCTGAAATATGTGTAAAGAAATATAACAACACTACAATTTTATGTACTCTAGAACTTACTGTTTGTAATGTAAAAGTATAAACATTTTTTAAATATTAATTTGTAAAATAAAAGAGTAAGATAAAAATTACGTAAAAAAGACAACTAAATTATACTATTAAAACTAAATTTTGATTACTACACCTATTTATGTAAATAAAAAAAATTTATATAGAAATGTTATTAGACACCGAGATCCATGGTTTCGATCATAGAAGGTGCTTTTATTGTGTTATTCACTTTTGTAGTTTAGTTCAATATATTATAAAAATTTATATTTACATAAGTAAAACATTTGTGTCTTTGTATTTGAACGAGAATAGATTATACATGACAAAAAAACATAGAAGCCATTTGCAATTCTAATTTAAGATTTTTTACGTACTGACAACAGTTATATTCTCGCACAAATAATCTATTAACATAGTTTTTACCTTTCTTCTGTAAAAATTATATTAAATATTGTATATATACACATTGAGAATTATATATGAATATATATAATAAAAGACACGTCATCTATGCAAACCTATTTCAATATACGTGACAAAGTTGTTTATTGCAACGATAATCGTATCTATAGACATAACTTTTGACGTTTCCGGTGATAAAAATGTAAATATATATTGTATATATTTGAAATTCTCTTAATAAAATAATTTAAAAAATTTTATTTATTTACCTTTTTGCTTCTCATAAATTTTGTAAATACAATGTGCAAATATTTAATTAAATCCTTGCACACTTTGTATTAAATTTGGTCTATAATATTACTAATCCGGTTATAATTGCTAATTCAAACAGTAATTTAACTTTATTGTCTCTTCTAATATTGCGATTAGCTCACGAATACGGTCGTTACAAATGGCTATGTTTTTCGTTCTTAGCTACGTTCGGGGAACGCGTTATCAGCACTATTACGTTATTTTGTCCTTGTTTTATTTTGAAATTTCCGTCTAATTAAAGTTAAAAAAAAAAAAATGAAATAAAAGTACTGATAGCGCACTGTCGCTAGAACGCTGCTCTTGTCTCAATATTAAACATTTGAAAAGTTTGCTTCAACAGTAAGCTACCATTTTGTAACAACCAAATTAAGTTGCTTTAACTTTAGATTTTATTTTTCTCCATTTTTTTAAAGTGTAATAAAATTAAACTAGTGTTGCAACAAACTCTTTAATTGTAAGAACAATTAGTTTGATGTAAATCTATCATAAATTTGTATTACAGGTTTGATTTTAAAAAATTCCGTTAGAATACAAAAATTTTAAAACACAAATTTTTTACAGCACCTCTTCTTTTGCTCACCTCTTCTTTTAAAAAGAATGCGGGAATGTTATGTTCACGAATTCAGAAACCTCGTGACCGCGACCTTCTCTCGAGATCAGCACGCTTGAACACCGGGAAAGTTTTGAATACGACTTGCTTCACGGTTCCGATCGCCGATGAGAAGAGAGACGCGTCCTACCAGAAACTGATCGTGCACGATGGTTAAACGCCGCCAGGAAGACCGCTGCCCAACAAACGGTGTCCCCACCGGTCGGAATACCGCCACTTGCAGTAACGCAATCGACCATCGGCGATAATTAAAAATAAGAATGCCGATAGTCTAATAATATGGAAAAACGGTATGACTCAATTGCCGGTTAGATAGCATTTGATAAGATTAAAATAAAAAGAAGGGAAAAAAGGAATAAACAGAAGGAAAGCAAGAAGTTTACATGAGAGTCGTAAAAGGGGGAAATGGCAAAAAACGACACTAAGGAAAAGGAGAACGCTGGAGGAATTCGTGAAGATGACCGCGATTACGTCGAAATACAAGGGCACATGCTACGCCGCCGTGGTACGTGTATCACGTACTGTAAACTGTAGAATGCTTACTTTGATAATTAAAAAAAGTAGATAACAATTTAAACATAATTTAAAAAGAAAAAAGAAATAAAAAAAAAAGAAAAATTTAGGGATAATTAAGAATAGTTACAGCCCGAAATAATTGTGTGTAATTCAAATGTTTTCTTACTTTTATCTACTTGAAGCTTATATTATAACAACATTTTTTATTTTCAATTTTAGATATTCTTTTGTGTCATTAAATGTTTGATGAGAATTAAAATTTTATTCTTTCTAAATGTTGTGTAATTAATACATGATATGTTTCTTTTGCAACATAATTCGCGTAAGTTTTATTTGTGATTCTAGTGACGTTCTAATTTAGGAACTTTCGATTAATGTTTAAATGCATTAAAGATAATTATTAAATACACCTCCACAGGTAATTTGCGTCGTGCAAATAAAATTTATGTATTTTGCGTCGTGCAAATAAAATCTGTTGACGTAGGTAAATTTGTATGTCTATGAATATTATCGATTTTGGTTTTAACTTTTAATAAAAAAATATAGAACAAGTGCTATTTCCTTGCGCTATCGCTTCTGTTACGTGCATCTGCATACATTCTTGTCTTTGATTGTTTTACAAAAAAAGAAAAAAAATGAAAAACCCATAATGAATTCAATAGAAGAATGACATGTCACATAATTGTACGAAAATTCATGTTTAGGAACACGTAAAATAAAATATCTAAAATGTAAATTAGTTAATTATTCAGCCACGAATTTTGAAGAGTCTTGAAATGTGAAGCTACGAAATCGTTCAAATGTTTGACGTTGTATATTTAACCGGAATAAGTAAGATACGATCGTCTGAGAAAGGAAATATTCTTATGAATAATGACATGAATAATGCTGTAATTTATACGTAACGGCAGTGAGATTCTTCATATAATTTATATATTAGCATTTAAATAAATTAAAAGGCAAAAATTATTGATAATGGCGATGCTCAAAGATTGGTGTTATGTAATAATTATTATATTAATTTTAGTATTATAAATACACTGTACGAATTTACTTCAATTTACTTTAAAATGAAAAAAAATAGACACATAGAGACACATCCTAGATTAAACTAGATTATTATTAGCAAGAATTAAACTTTTATTCTTAAAAAAAATTAAGGCCTAATAACTTCAACAAATTGTAAAAACTAAAGATAATACAAATAATGATTAAATAATTAATTTTATAGATTTAAATTTATAGTTTTGATATTCTTTTTAATATATTTATAATGTATGTGCGGTTTAAATATTATTAATGCCAATAACTGTAATGCCAGTAAAACTAAAAAATATTAGTTATTTTAAAAATAAGCAGAGAAAAAGGCTCAAATATTTCTTCAAATATACCGATTTTTTGTTTGTCCGGAATAAGCAGTATTGAGTATGAACGTACCTCATACAATAAAAGCTATCCGAGACTTGAATTAAATATCATTTCATCCGAAAATTTATGTCACATCTGAGAAACGTTAACATCTAACATCCATAGAATATTTTCTAATATGGTAACCATTCCTGGAAAAAAGATCGCTCCAGTATTTACATATGAGTGTATCTATAAATTTATATTTTTCTTATTATGTATTTTATTATTGTATATTTTATTATTTTATTAATTTTTTGCTTAAAGAATAGGTCAGTGTTTAAGTTTATTTAGACAAAATAAGGAATAGCATATTTAAAATATTAAGAAGATAGATGTGTGTGTGTGTGTGTGTGTGTTTGAGAGAATTTCTTACTTTAAAAGAATAATAACTAAAGCTCACAATCGGTAAGTAAATTTACGTAATCACATGACGCTTGCTAAGCATTTAATATATTTTATTAACATAAATGTTAATAAGGCCACAATTTAATTGCACAATTACGAGATTTAAAATTAATAAGACCGTTATTTAATTAAACAATAAGTTACAGAAATAGAAACTTTTTATATGCCTTACATAAAAGGTCTATTCGATTTACATTTGTGCAAAGTCTTCCCAACGCATATTTTTGCATATCTAATAAGATGTAACAATAACGATGCAATAGTAATAGTAATTTGCATAAATGTAAATTTTACGTTAAAAAAAATACTATTTTTGTATTATTTGGCGTTGCATATCTACAGTTCATTTACATTTAACTGCATGTTTACACACAAAAACATCAATTCTAAATTTATCAAATAATGTTATTATAGAAGAAAGCATTAATTAATAATTTTTAAATATAATAAGAAAATGACAAATCTAGATTAGGTACAGTTTCACTTGTGTCAATTTGTCAATAATTAATTTGAAAAATAATCGTACTTAATTAATTCTTCAATATAATAAATAATGATATCTATTGTGTTCGATGAATAGAATGTTAATGCTTGCCACGGAGAGATATATATTCTGACGTCGAACTGTGATATATTATTGCAACAGAGGAAAGGAAAACACAGAGTCATTTATATTTCTAACACTTGTGCACAGAATAAGAGCATAATAATTGGATAGTACCGTTAGAAGAAGCCGCCAAAACATTTTATTTCTTTAATAAAACCGGACGCTCGACAACGCCGGCCGGATGTTAAAAATGATGAAAATGATTCTATGAGTGTATCATATAAGAGATAGAGTCTGTAAAAGTCTGCAGCTATCGTCAAGATAATGTTAAAAATGGCAAAATTGTAAATTGGAATTACAATATAGTAATTTTATATTAATTTACATACAGTGTTGTATTACATATACAGTTAATGCTGAGAAGAAATTAAGTCGAGAAATAAGATACAAATAAAACTATTTTATATGTTGTTATAAATTGTTACAACAATAAGAATTATAAGAGATTCTGCGTAAATTATAAGAAATAAATAAAAGAGAGAGAGAGAGAGAGAGAGAGAGAGAGAGAGAGAGAGAGAGAGAGCTCTATGTATAATATTGTATGTAATTTATTAATAGCAAATGAAATCAGAATCGCGACTTAAATAAAACAAACATTCAAAGAATGATAAATAATAAAACATTCAAAAAATTTCACAAAAATTATCAAAAAAATAAAAAAAAAAAATTTAATTTAGTTGTATAAATTAAATTATTTAAGAAATGAACTTTAATCGTCCTTACAAAATCCGAAATTTCAAACCGGATTTATAATTCAGGACGAAAAACGCGGACATTACAAATGAATCGTAAACACTAGCTTAATAACGGTAGCTATCATAAAGTTTATGAAAAATTCTTTTCGCATCAATCTCCGTCTTTAATGGTCTGACAAAAATTTATCGTTGGAAATGCATCTATAGCCGTCATGTGGCTAACGTGATTTAACGCGTGGTAAATGCGTCTTATCGCCGGCATGCAAAATAATTACGACTGATCAATTGCGGTCGGGCCAATACGGGGCGCGAATACCTGAGGTTGTTATGAGCAAAAACTTCCTGCGGGATATATGTACAGCATTGCTTTCTATCGTTCTTACCTTAGGAAGTAAGTCAACGATTTGCAGCCGAGAAGTAGAATTATCTCTTTGCAGTGGGTTAAGCGGTCGGGGTGCTGTCGACAACTCACAGCTAGAAATGATTGGTCGAATTGATTGGTTGATGAATTAGTGCCCTCGATGTCGATCGATGTCGAATCGAATAATTATTTCTATGAGAAAGTTGATTGCAGCGGATTTAACGAGTAACATGTTAAAGGCCACGTGAATTTTTGAGTGAAGCTGTGGCCAGAAAATTGTCTGCAATTCTAAGAACTGATGGAATGAATAAAGAAAGAGATAAAAATATATACATATTCACTAATATTAGAAAAGTCGTAAAGAGAGGGGAGAGAGAGAGAGAGAGAGAGAGAGAGAGAGAGAGGGAGAGAAATAAGTTATTATAATTTATATTATAATTTTAAATGATTAGTGACGACTTTTTTATATTATGGAAGAAATATATTATTGAGGAAATGTTATAACTATATCATATAATTAGTTCTTTTTTTTTATAAATTTGTTTTGCATTTCTTTTTTATTGAAAAACAATACATACATACTGACTGTAAATTTAATTGTTTATATTTTATACAGAATGTTTGTAGTTTAAATGTATATGTTTACAATCAGTGTTTTTTTTAATAATAAAGTAATAAAAAAATGTTTTAAATAAAAAGTTATTACTTAATATTTATATATAATGACTAAGATTTACATAATAAAAGAAAGTTTTAAATTCGTTTTTTTATTTAAAAGATAAATATTTGATTTTTTATTTCCAATTAGCTGATAAATTAATAATATTTAAGAGATCTATTTAATAAAGAAAAAATCGTGTTTTTTCACATAGGGAAGAGTAAACATGAAAAAGTCATGTTTTGAAAAAGCGATTTCATATTTTAACCAATTATAATGTAACTAAAAATTTTTTAATATTTTTATTTGAAAGCGACACTAAAACTACGTCCATAAGCATTTGATAGTTAATGTCAAAACAGCGCTGTCGTAGTGAGAGGTAAAAGATTATTACAGCAAAAAGTAAATTTATGAGTTAAACTTCTTTACGGTTTTGTATTTGCAATTAGCTTTTAGGAAAAGTATTTTTTAAATCGAATGCTATGTACATTAGTCTAATTAAGAACATGGTTACAATTCTTTTGTTTATTTATTTTCATAGATATTTTGTGGTTAAAGTTTTTATATTTAATGTTATAAATGAGCCGGTGTAGACAACTATGAAAAAGTCGACATTAACATATTTTGATTTATGTATTATTTGCTATAATTTAGTATCCGGCTCTTTCAAAACAGGTGATGTTTCAAAACCCCGTTGTATTGAAAAAACCGAATTCTCTAGTTTTAAAAAATGATTATTAAAATCTGTTAATGATTAAATATATTTTTTCTTTATTAAATAGATCTTATAGATAAATAAACGCACTTATGTTACATAAAGCGGTTTTATTTTATTATTACTAGATTAAGTTTTTTTTTATATTTTGAAAAAAAAAAGACCACCAGATAGAGAAGTGAAATGAGATTCAGAACAGTTAATCGATGCAATAGAAATTGATCTCTTCCTCTCTAAAATTCTGTTCTATTTTGCTCGTTTTGCAATTTTTTAAATATTTTTCTTTTAATTAAGAAAAACCATTTTTATAAAAATTCTAAACAAAGTACGTAAGACATAAAAATCTAAAATTTGAAATATCACAATATTCTAAGCACGCGTTTCATTAACGAAGAAATGAGCACACGTATTGGATTTGGCACTTCCGCGAGGTAACGCTACCGAAAAAATTTTAACTACATTCATGCGTGCATCAACGAGAATGGACCAAAATCAAATATAACGGCACCTTCGACGGCACCTCCATAATAAAAGCAAGATGCTATGGATACTTGTTCCGTTCATCCTCTCCTTGCCTTTTTTTCCTCTCGTCCCCGTTCAGTCGAAAAAGTAGGTCGTTTACCCGTTTCTGTGCACGGTACGGTCATGGCTACGACTAATTATTTAGCCTGATATATTTGACCGAACGGGAAAATAAAAAAAAGTTACCGGCGCGAGATTATCACGGGTAGATCATAAGAAGAATGTTCTGTATATTTTAATATCGAGAATAATCTATAGAAAATTTTTTGTTTGCTACGTATACCGAATAATCGAACGCATATTTTTAGATTGTTTTTTTTTTCAAACCAAATGTTTCTTTTTTATTTAAATTAAATTAAATTAGAAATATGTGCCAGTTTGTTTGCTTCTTTCTATATTTTTAAGTTTCTTCGAAAAATTTTAAAGAAGAAGAAAATGATATTATGGCTTTTGTAAGTAAAGATGACTTTTCTTATCGTCGATATTAGGTAGAAAATTCTAGTAATTTATGAAATTATTTGTTTAATAGCTAACAATTGACTATTGTGACGTCAATACACAATAGCTGATATTTCTAATAATACATTTTTAGTTTTAAGTATTTTGAAACATTGAAAATTTTCAATGTTT